TATATTTTGTGAGCATTTTCTTCTTTTTCAAATTTTTTTCTTTTTTTATATCTTTTTTGTATTACATCTCCTTTTAGTCATATTATTTGGCCATTTTTGTCCTGGATTTTTTCACATTTTTTGATGAACTTGACCAGTAAGACCAAGCAGAGTAGCCAGACCAGGCAGAGCAGCCAGACAGGTAGACCAGGTAGATCAGGTAGACTAGGTAGTCGTCTAGGCAGAGCAGCCAGACAGGTAGACCAGGTAGATCAGGTAGACTAGGTAGTCGTCTAGGCAGAGCACCCAGAGCAGCCAGAGTAGCCAGGCAGCCCGCCAGGCAGAGCATTCAGACTAGGCACCCGGCCAGGTAGACCAGACAGCCGGTCAAGCAGACCAGGCAGGACCAGGCAGACAACACAGCCGGCAAGGCAGAGCAACCAGAGCAGCCAAACCAGCCAGAGGAGGCAGCCAGACTAGCAAGAGCAGCCAGACCAGCCGGACCAGGCCGACCAAGCAGACGAGGCAGCTGGTAAGGCAGAGCAGCCAGAGTAGCCACAGCAGGTAGCCGGCCAGCCGGTCAGACAGACCAGGCAGACCAGCCAAACCAGGTCGAGCACCCAGGCCAGGCAGCCGGTTAGGACCAGGCATCAGGCCACGCAGACTAGGCAGGCAAAGTAGCCGACCAACTAGGGGGAGGCCAGGGGATGCTGAACCAAATGTTAATTACAATATCGAAACTCAATATAAATGCAATATTTTATTTAACAAGAGGAAGTCAGAGCAATAAAAACGTCTGGATTATCGGCATTGTGATTCGGTTATTGCAATTCGTAGAAAATGTCTTTTAGTTTAGTTTCTCTGTTTTACTCTCACGTAGACATCTCTATAAGCGTTATCGCAATTTGTCTTAAATTACGATGAGTACTAAAAATGATTTTCAGTTCACTCTTTAGTCGCATCTCTGGTATTACATACATATATGATTGCGTTTTTAGTTAACATTTTTTCGGCAAAAATGAGATTTTAGAAACATTATGTAATTTTTCTGTGCCAAAAAATCTATCAAGTTTCCCTCAGATTTCCTCAAAATTTTTCAGATCCTATGAAATTTTTCCATTTAGTTCCTTTCAGATCACTGCAGATTCTTCCAGTTTTTTTTAGATTCTTCTAAATTCTTACAAGTTCCCTCAGATTCCTTCCAATGCTTTCCGAATCTCCCAATTTCTCTCAAATTCTCTTAGATTCCCTCAAATTTCTCCAAATTTTTTCAGATGCTTTCAAATTCTTTTATTTGCTTTCTGATTATCTTTTTCTGATTCTTTCAATTTTTTATTTATTCTTTCAGATTATTCCGGATGCTTTTCAATGCTTCCGGATTGTTTCAGATTATTTCGAATTTTTTCAGATGCTTCCAAAGATACCATCATGATTCTTTTAAAGTTTTCAGTTCTATTCAGATCATTTCAGACCCTTATAGATCCTTTCAGATCCCTGCAGATCCTTCAAAAGCCTTACAAATTCTTCCAGTGTTTTTTAGAAACTCTTAGATTTTTCTAAATTTTTCGAAATTCCTCAAAATTCGCTCAAATTCTCACAAGTTCCCTTAGATTCTTTCAGATTCCTTCAGGTTATTTTTGAATCTTCTAATTTTTCTTAGATTCTCGCAGATTCTCGCAGATTCCTTCAGATTCCTTTAGATTCTTTTAGATTCCCTCAGATTCTCAAGAATTTTTCACGTTTCAAATCGTTTCAGATGCTTCCAGATCCATTCAAAATTTTCCAAATCGCTTCCGATTCCTGCAAACTGGTTCAGATTTTCCCAAATTATTTCAAATTATTTCATTTTCTTTACGACTCTTCCTTCTGAATTGAAATCCTCAAGATTCTTTAAAATTTTTCAGTTCCGCTCAGATTGTTTGAAATCCTTACAAATGCTCAGATCCCTGCAGACTCTTTCAAATTGTTCCAGATTTTTCCAGATTTTCCTAGATTCTTTTAGGTTTTGCTAGATTTTCTCGGATTCTCTCATATTCTCTCCGATTCATTCAAATTTAACCAGATCATTTCAAATCCCTGCACACTCTTTCAGATTCTTCTACTTTCTTCTAGGTTGTTCGAAAGAGCCACCAAGATAAGAATAACTATAATTTTTTACATTTATTTTTTAAATATTAAAAGATATGGGCGGAAATGTATTGGTGACAAATAATAAAAATATTAATACAGCGGAAATTCATTGCTGAGGCATTGCCTCACCTGCTTAAAAGGACAAACCGCCCCTGATGGTAAACGTGGTAAAATTGTTTCGTTATTTTATTGATTATAAATCAAGATTCAAGAGGACTCACTCCATTTTTTCGAAAATTTGGGAACACAATACTTTTATTGTTAGTATTACACTGCATCTATCCAAACTGATATACGTGTCCTTGCGAAAATGTTGATGCCTTCGTTACAAAATTTTGTGACAGAAAAACTCACTTGAAACAAACGCGTATTATATATTATTTTAACTTACAATGGATGTTATAAAAAATAGAATTCGCAAAACAAATCTTTTTAATTTTTTGAAAGAGTTGGATTTGATATTCTGTACTTTACGGGTGAGGGAAGTTTTGTCGAAATAATGTTCCAGCAATTAATTTTTTCAATCGATTAAATCAAGAATGGCTCACCCAATTTTCCACAAAATTTGGGAATATACTTGTACTACTGTTATTGTTAGTACTGCACTCCCATTATCCAAGTTGATATACGTGTCCTAAAAAATTTTGACGAGTTATTACAAAATTATTTCATCTGATGTTTCAATTGTACTGTTGACGTACACCTCATGGTCAACTAGAGCTAAAATTTAGAAAATCACACAGTATTAGTCATGGCAAAGTAAACGTAGAACTAACTTTGGGATCATTATTTTTTCATCCAGCGATAGTTCGCTTGGACGTTATGGAAAAAGAATTTTCAAATTTAACTTTTTGAAAAATTCTATTATGTATACTAAATACTTGAACTTAAATAATCACCACAGTAATCATATTATGAAGTGTTGTGAAAAAGAAAATTTTCGAAATATTTTATTTTTAGCAACAACATAAAGACATTTTTAGAATTTTTTGAACAATTTATTCAAGTAGAACACACTGTCCTTAAATTAATTTAAGTACAGTGTGTAATTAAATAGTCCACATAATTTTATGGTGTTGCTAAAAATAAAATATTTTGCAAATCTTCTTTTCATAATATGATTATTGCGGTGACTATTTAGGTTTTTACTTCCTGAGCTTACATTAAGGAAATATTGTAAATGGGACTATCCGGCGAATGCGTAGGTACTTCTACGTGTTTCCACATTCCATGACCCCTAGAGTATGAGAAAATAGGTTCCCTGTTTTGGTCCTTCTGTCTGTGATTTGTGAGCAATTTTATTAGACAGATAACCTCCGAAACTATAGAACTGATTTTTATGAATATAATGTAGATGGTAAAACGCTAATCAAAATGTGTCTAATCGTCTCTAGCAACAATGTGAGAACGTCAAATCGAATTTTTTGCACAGTAAATGTTTATTTAAAGTTCAATCAAATAAAAGGTACTTTTAATTTAGAATTACTTATGCAAGGAGACGCAAATTAATGAATTTATTTAATATATCAAATGAAGAACGGCTAACCGAAATTCCAGACTACTTAACCTATTAAGAATTGATCACAAAAGCCCAAAAATTACTGCAACCATTATGAATATAAATTGATAAGTGTCCTTGCTAAAAGGATGATGACGCCAACAAAAAATCATGTCATAGAAAAACTCATTTAAACCATGGTATATGTACTTTAATAGTTTACACATATCTTTATTTTAAGTTATAGGGGTTATTACAAAGAAAATCGCAATTTCAAATTTTATAATTTTTCAAAGAAGCTGAATTTTTTGCACAGTACTTCAGGGGCGAGGAAAGTTCTATCTGAATCTTTAAACAATTTTTATAAATAAACTATGAGTTGCACAAAAATATCAGTGAACCGAATACGTGTTGAACTTAATAGTAATAAAAATGAATTCATAGATATTGTACTACAGCGTGAAAAAATAAATAGTGGTGGCAAGGACGTTAGTATTCTCCATAGAATTTTAGTGTCTGTGTTGCCATATTTGTGTAACGAAAGTTTAAAAGAAATGCGATACCGAAAACACGAAGTTCGTTTTATTGGTTTGCAGTTCTCGTTCTATTACCAAAACGGTTCTAAGCAACTCATATCGCTGATTGTATACACAACTTCGTAAACAATCAGTAAGTGCAAACTTTGCTCGATAACCTATTTACATTTCCAGTTGCAGTTTTGCGGCAACTGAAGTTTCCCAATTTTAGCGATTTCCATACACCCTTCAAAGTAGTTTCTCGTAATTATCAACACATTAACGACGATGACTTTAATCGCGACTTGGTCGTCGTCGCTTTGTATTTGCCTACTTCAGAAATTATTAGCGAAATGTCGCAACTCCTACTACACAGTCCCCTAATATTGAAATCTACGACGATCTTAATTAGGTCAGAAAGGAAACAGTTTTGGTGATACAATCGCCAACTTTTTCGGGACTCCCTAGATGACGAAAAATCCTTAATTGAGAACGAACGAGGAAAAGACCTAGAAAACGAAACGTAAATGGCGCCCACGCTTAATGAAAATTATTATTCCCAAGATACGCGTTTGTTTTTTAACAAAACAAGTTTTGCGCAATTTTTCACAACATTAGGTCTTATCGCGCCAGGAACAGGTTTCCAATAAATTTCGCGCGTCGCGCTTTCGGCCTTCGATAGCGCACCCTCTGATAAACAAATTCGAATTTAATAAATATTTTTAGAAGGGCTTTAAACCGCGACAAGATAATTCATTCTATTATATTAGGTTACTCAGCAGCATTTATATGACAATCATATTATTGATATTCATTGTGCGCATGCGCCGGTAAGGGTCGTCACGACGCGCATCCCTTCTATACGGCAGTTTACGTCGTGACGCTGGCGTTGGTGGTGATCCCGTAATATGATCTCATAATTTGCACATTGTGTGTGTTTGCTGCTCATAGCGACAACGTAAGTACATTTATTTTAACTATTTATCTGGAACATCCAATATTAACTGGATGCGGCGTCAACGCAAACGCGTCTTTTTAAGATATTTTGATAATTTTTCTTGATTTCGTTTAAGTTCTGGTGTTAGCAGAAGTTGATGAAACTTTCTTCAGTAAGATCACGTTGATAACGTAAAGAGGACTTAATTTAGACTCGTGACGAGTAAACAATGCGTTAGCTGCTTTCAGCACTTAGACTAATTATATAAAGGTAGAATCGCGATGCGTTTACCTGAAACAAAGCTGTTGATGCCGCTGAAATTTAATTTCCACTTCTTTGTCCGGTCTGTTTGTCGCCTTGTAATAATTCAACTTGGAGTTGTTTAAGATTCTTAGGTTTCTTTGTACGGTGTGGGTTTGTTGTTTGTTGATTTGCCCGGCGCACCCGCCAGAAATTCGAAAGTTTAATTACCACTTTAAGGAGCGACGCGGCAAGATTAGGCTTTTAAAGCGCTGTTTTACTTTAAACTGCGTTTGATGTTATCTGGATTAAGGGGCCGGGTGAGAAGTGGAGACTTTCGGCTCGGAATAACTATGATGTTTCGATCAGAAAAGAATTAGAGGGAACGCCCATAAATTAGACGTTGCCGGCACTTGCCGAAGAAAGATTGTATCGCAACTACAAACAAAGCTGAACCCTTTATATTTTTGCTAAGGTATTTAAATGTCGGCACGCAAGCCGCCACGTGTATGCAATGAATAAGCGATAGACAACATGTTGGGGGCGGCGGCCGCCTCAAGACTGCCCGGATCAATGTTTTGACGTGGAGTTTTATTTTTGCTAAATTTATGTGTCAATCAGGCATTTTCTATTTTTCACGCAAGAGTTGTTCGAGGGAAAAATGGGACACATTTATAGACTAGGAAACGTGTGCGATACATTTCACAGCTCAACTGGAAATTGATTTCGTATTCAGGAAAATACTCAGCGAGCATTTGTATAGCTGTCGATGTTTGTAGTATACTTATTTAAATTTATCTGCTTCATCTCTTTTCGTATTGTCTTCATGAAACTTGTTTCCGCAGCGCACCTATACACCAGTCTTATTTGTTTTGGAATTGCGGAATGCGAGTTCCGCTATAGAGTTCTTTCATAATAAAGCATTTTGTTGCTTTCGGCGATAACTAATTTGAGTAATTCCTTTCGTTTGATATCGAGCGGAATGAAAGCATTTTCTGTTGAAACGCCGGGAATGGTGATACCTGATGAAAATCCATCTCTTTATTATCATTTCATATTTATATTAGACAATATTCACTGGGTGTTGTACGTTGTGTATACTACTTAATGAATTAAAATTACAAAGTTATTCCTTCCCAATATATACCACAGAATAACTTAAGTGATAAAAGCAAAGTATGAATATTTTAACATGTTAAATTAATATTGACTAATTTATTTTAAAAGTAAATTTTAATGCTATATACATATAACATGATCAAGCAGTAAGTGCAACAATGACTAATGCAAAAGATCATGTGAAAAGTTTAACAGTGAAAATGGGTTTTTGACACTTGTTATAGTAGCTTTTTTCTACACTGGTGTGGAAAGTAGTCAAAAATTTCGATCATAACTAGAGAAAAAAATTGAAATACATACGAATTTGATGTTTTGTTTTGATCAATTGTTTTACTAGACAAAATTTAATAAATGCATAAATATATTTACCGAAAAGCGTACCCCGATTTTTGGTTTAACCAAAAACAGATGTGGATTGCAATATTTCTTATTTATATTGAAGTCAAGGGAAAGATAATATATTTTGTTCTAGTATTTTAATTAAAAGTCAGTGACTCAAAATTTCCAGGTTTAGATAAATGTTCAAAAAGCATTGTTAGACAAAAAAGATAACATTGTTGGGAGTATATGATTTTATAAATTAAAATTTTTTTTAATGAGATTTATTTATTGCAATATGGAGGTAATTTTACTAAAATACAAATCTGCTTTAAATTTTGTAAAAATTATATCAGGTTATCGGCTCTTCCAAACCAAAGGTAAAACAATAAGTTTTAAGTTCAGTAATAAGCATAATTTACTAGTGAAATATACTTTAATTACTTCATAAATTAATTAACGTCTCTCCAGGGAGTTTTTTTTTTGTTTGAAAGTTGGTTTACGGAATGGTTCTTAGCTCTGTTTGATCATAATCACTTCGGTCATTACACGATCATCAGCTCATAAAATAATTGATGCGGGAATCAGCTTAATTCACACGAAGGTGGGGATAGCGCGTCGACCGTTGCAACGAATCTTAACCAATTTCAAAATTTCTAAGGGTTAATTTTTTATGTCGGAGGTTTTCAAGTATTAAGATTTGTTTAAAATGACAGTCGGAAGCAAGTATCTCTTACAAGTGTATTTTCTTTGACTTTATGTACGTTCGGAGGTTTTCCAAATCTGTGGATATCATTGACCTATTAACAACAGTTTAACTAAAATTTTACATATATTTGAAAATTATCATACTGATAATAAACAATTTTATCAAGAAACTGATACTTCATCTCAAAATTTTGTTGCGTAAATCTAATTTAAATCTGGTGCTTTTTAACATTGTGTCTATATTTTTAACCTTAATAAACCATACGGCTTTAAAAAGAAAAAAAAATTAAAATGAAATTTTACGTTTGTCTTGGAACTATCTGTGTAACGGACTTTTTTAAGATTTAGATAGACACTAATTTTTGTTTAATAACTACAGAACTTCTAGAAAATTCATTTGCTGCGGGAGAGTCACTAAGTGCGCGCTTCTTGATATCACATTAATTAGTGAGAGCGAAAAAAAAAGGTCTAAGGTTATTTGTACAGTACTTTCCTCGCCCCTGAAATACAATCCAACAAATGGAGCTTCGAAAAATTTAATTTTGTGAATTTATTTTATGACACCATCTGCATTTTAACAATGACATGCATTACAATTTTAACAGATGCACGGTACTTAATACTAATAATAACAAAACTGTATTCTCAAATTTTTGGGGAAAATCGGATGAACCGCCGTTGATTTGATATGTTTAAAAAAAATCTCCCGCCGCCGGCTTCAATCCTCTGACCTCTCATCTTTGAAGCAATCGCGCTACCTCTGGACTACAGTGGGTGTTATACATCTTCGTATTAAGTATCTAAATAACAATACGAATTAAACAATAAAAAATATAATAATTTAATAATAATAATAAACAGAATCAAGGTAGATTCGTGAAGCACAGATTGTTGATGGGAATGATTAACCGAATTTGATTAGCGTGGTACCATGTAGGGGTAGTCCTAATATACATATAAAATTTGACATCATCAGTCCACTAGTTTCGGAGATTATCTGTCTAATAAATATCGACACAGATGGCAGACAGACGGAAAGAGGAAACCAGTTTTTTCATACTCTAGGGGTCACGAAACATAGAGAAAACTTGAAAGTAACTAGTCGCCCGATGGACCCTTTTACAATACTTCCTTCGGTTAGGCTCGGAAACTAAACAGTAAAAACTAAGTTATAATATAAAGTTTTTTGAGCTCCATATATTAAAATTATTTTTTATTAAACAGAGTGCTTTGTTGTGGGCGAGCGATATAAATTAGAACACCTTATATATTTTAATCTGCCATAATTGGTCTTGCCTTTTTTTTGGGACGTACCATATTTTACGTTTTTTTCTAAATTGGTATATTTCTTAAAAAAAAAAATTGTCAACTTTAGATATCTAAGATGTAAAAGAAATAATAAAACAATATAAACAGAGTGAAAACCAGTGATAAAATAGAGAGTATTTTATGTGAAAGAACTGAGATATGACTATTTACAGATTATAATATTTTAAAATTTTCTTATAAACGTTTGGTATAATAAGGCTAAAATGTACTGTATTCCAAAATATTTCAACACAAATGCTCTACCGCTTTATGAATTTCAAGCAAATTGGACTAACATCAGAATTTCAAAAATGTAATATTGTAAAACCTAAGAATCGAGCAATCATATCACGTAATCACGAGATGTGTTGCATGTTAAAAACAGATCACTCTGTATAGTTGAAAATAATTTTATTGTAAGCTATTCAGAGAACCGTACAATTGTAGCCTTTAATTTCTTTTCTCATCCAAGATTCCTTCTTGAAAGTTGAGGCCGTCATTTTAAAAATATTTATATCAGATTACTGAAAAGTAACTTTTGACACGCACTTCTGTCTGTCTGTCCTCTGCCTGTGTTGTTTTTGTTATATAGATAATCTCTGAAATTACTGGACTGATTGTTGTCAAATTCTATATGTTTATTAGAAAAATAGTGTAGATGGTAAAAAGCTTACCGAAACCTGTCTAATTATCCCCACCAACAATTTGATGACGTCGCCTAAAATTTTCTTTTAGTAAACGCCGTTTAAATTTGGAAAATAACATATTCTTGACTTGTGGTTTATGAATTCGCTTTGAGTTTTTACCCTAGGCATCTAAATTTTCATCATAAAATAAGTGAATATAAAGTGAGTTATTTTATTGATTTTATTAAAACGGTTTATTTAATTTTGCTGCTGTATTGTTGTAAGTGTTCTATTATCATTTATGAGTATCAAAATTAGCATATTTATTCCCATTAAAGTGTTAATTATATTACAAATTGTATTATTTATTTCGTACCTATGGTTTAATCATCACTAAGTCCTTATTTTGTATAAATGCTGAAACAAGGTGTGCTGAAAATGTAACCAAAAAATGTATTTTACGGACGAAATGTTTCTCTAATTTTTTAAGATTATGGCAATTAATTAAGGTTGCCATTGTTGTCATTATTATATATACATCTTCGCTGAAAGTTGTTAATGTTAACGCAAAAAATAATAATAATAACTTATCGCCCACACACGCAGGTGGGATTTGTTGTGGGAGAACGGATTCATTACCGAGGTTGAGAAAATACCCTTTATGCTTGTATTAAATTGTATGCTCCCTGAGAGAGGTTTGTT